TTCCTATCGACAGTACTCGGGGACCTCTAGTGATCAAGACTAGGGTAAAAATCTGCCGAAGTTCCCCTTTAACTCCTGATTCTTGCCAATACAAAGCTACTGTGTAACAGACAGATGAGAAGAAGCCCAGAAATAAAGAACATTTACATTTTCCCTGCTAGTCTTTAGCTCAAAATAGGAGATTATTAGAAGTGAATAGAATTTTAAAATGTGTAAACATGACCTCTAGTGGAACAGCTGTGTCCAGTGTTAAACTGTTTTTGTGTTTGTGGATGATAGTTGGAATGAGTCTTTTGACACAGGGTCTGATCCAGTACTTAATTTAGTTGTATATTTATACAATACTATACTGCTTCCAGATGCCTGAATTTATGCTCAAATCTTTGATGTCTTAAGTGATTCAGATAGTTCTCAAATAGTGTCTTGTTTCTTGTTGACTGCTGTTGGTTGTTTAAATTAAGAAGAAGAACATCATCTTCCTGTACCAGAGCCAGGTAAATGGCAACCAGTGTGGATGAGCTTCAGCGATCAGCATCAGATTTGTCCTTGGTAATGATTATCTATGATAGCTTGTATTGTGTTTTGTATTGTTTACTAGGGGAGGGTTCAGTTTTTCATGTTCAGTTACTAACTGCACTAAATGTTGATGATGTCTTCATCCAGTGTGACTTAGACTGAGTTCAAAGCCATTTAATTAGCAAGCAATTTAAATATTTGATCAGCAGCATTACAAGTGCTAAATAGTAAAGTGAGTTGCACTGCACCCTGCCAGCATTCCTGTAAAAGACTACCAGGAAGTGAAAGAGGAGTAAAGGTTGAGCACTTTCTGTCCTGCAGATTCCAGCAGACACCAGTGTAGTTCAGACCCAGAGGCGTACTTTTTCAATTTGATTACTGAAGCAGTAAAATCCTGTCTGGCAGGTGTAGGAAAACTTCTGTTTGCTAAATCTCAGTCTGTGTCGGGCCTGGTTTTGGTTTGGACGCGGGCCGCAGCAGCTGGCTTGAATGTCACAGCGTCTCAGAGGAAATCCAGACAGATGGAGAGGAACGCTGAGGAGAAAACAGCCCTGCTGGGAAACCTCCACGCTGGCTGTTTGGTTCACAGTGCTGAGAGCAGAGAAGATCCACTCAAAATGAATACAATCAGGAATGATACTTTATAGAAAATACAACTATTAGCCTGTAGCATAAGGTTCAGTTTATCTAGCCTTAGAATCATAGAAACAATAATAATAATAATAATAACACTAACAATAATCCCATCCTAATCAACTTCCATCCTACTTCTAGAACAACACTGAGCTGGTCTTTCAATGATTTAAAGAATTTAAAGTTTGAGCTGTATCTGTCCTGAGATTCTCACTGGTGTCTGGTGTTATCTGTACGAGTAGTTTTAGTAGTTAAATTGCTCTGAAAAACAATGAATTAAAATGTTATGTTTTTTAACAATTTGGAATACTTTTGCATGAAACAATAACATCACATTGCCTAGCATGGCAGTTTTGTCACTAAATCTGAATTTTGGCTTTAGTAGTGCAAGGTGAAATGTTTTATAATATCATGGCAAACAGATAAAGAATTACCAGAGCAGATAGGCCCAAAATAAAAAATGTTGAAATCCTGTCGAGAGACTTAACCATCACGAAATGGCATTTTGCTGCCGTTTTAAGCTATCAACTGTCACTTGATGGTCTTTAAATGCACTTCACCCATCAGCAGCAACTCTTTCCAAATGTTATGACCAAATCCAAAACAGCAGCTTGTTCGGCATTTCCTTTTGTTCCTTAACATACACACACTTGGTTAGCTCTAAACACCTCCATTATTAATTATTAGCACACACACATCCTGTCCATCCACTTTGGGAATTAGGTTCGATCCTATCACACACACCCCTAACCTCAAACACACACACGCTCACACTGTATTTGTTACTTTATGGCTTCTCTCTCCACCACGATGTAATGCCTTTTAGATCTGCAGCTACAGGTGTGCTGTTCAGGTGTCTGACACCGCCGGGAGAACAAGGCTGCTTCTGATCTGAGGAACAGGCTTGATGTAGCCGACACAAAGGAAAACATTGTGTTTTATGTTTCTCAACGGAGTATGAATAGTGACAACCTAACCTGCTGTATCTGACCTACCAGCACTGCTAGCAGCCCTTGTTCTACTTTCCCAAAGGCAGGTACATTTATTTAGTGTATTTGAGCATTTCAGCTCATACATGACCCACATTTGTCTGATACTATAGTAGGTTCAATGTCCATTCAGTATCTTCTGAATTTTTCTACTTTCTGTGTGTGATCTTCAGGCTACCCACGACTACACCAAAAAGTCTAATGTGTCGTAGAGTAGGACTTATTTAAACCAGCAGCTCACACCAGGTGGCAGAGCCTGACCAAATGGGCAGGACATGTAGAAAGTAACTTCCTCTTTTCTGTTTCTAGTGTGTCACTTGTTGCACAACAACTACAAGAGAGAAAGATGTGGCTGACATTTTTCACAGCTGCATCCCTTTATGTCCAGTTTCCTGTAGGGCTGTAACGATACACTCAACTCACCATTTTGAATCGTGATACTGTGTTCACAATACAATTTGTTTTAACAAAATGAGATTCAATACAAATTATGACTGAAAAAGATTTCTCCTACAAAATCTACAAAATGTATTTTCTCTTATATTTTCTTTATCAAATTATAGAATGCTTTTGTATTTGGGAGGTAGGGTATAAACTGTGCAAAACAATGCATATTTCCTTTTGGGAAGTGACACTGAACTCTTTGCACCTTGATACCACGACTGATATCATGATTTATTTTTCATCTTACCAATTTAAATCTTTACATATTTGTATTACAATTTAACTAATGTATCTTTACATTCCTAGTGTTCTGTGATGTACAGTACTTAAATCTATACAGGGCTCAACAGTAAGGATTGCCTGCTTCTGCATCTAGCAGCTCACTTTCCTGATAAAAGAGAATGAAACATGTTTTTTTTCCTGAGCTGATGGTGGAAGTAGCTAAGGAGTGAACTGTCTTGCTTTCCTCTCACTTCTGTTGGGTAGCGTTAGAAGATGGGTGTGTGAAACTCCAACTGTGTATTATTGTATATTATTATATTGCCAGTTTGCGAGCAAGGCAGATAAAAGGCACGTCAAGTTTCCCTCAAACGGTGCTGGAGTTCTGTAACAGGAGCCAACAGTAACAATGAACTTTGGGCAAGTAGATTTCTCACCTATTTGCCAGACCTGAAAAAAAAAAACATTCATGTTGAACCCTGCTATAGATTTTTAATCTTGTCCACTAAAGTATTATTTTCATTATTGATCTCAATGATTCTCAATGAACCAATTTATCTTTTGGTCCATATAATGTATACGAATAGTGATTATGGAATTGCATTCCGAGCTATTCAGTTTACTATCATAGAAGACAAAAAAACAGCAAATACTCACATTTGAGAAGCTGCAAGCAGTACAGCATTTGGAATTTGAAAATATCTTAAAATAGTTTAAAAAATGATCAAAAGGAAGATTATTAATTCACTGTGGATTGACTATAAATGAATCAAGCGTAAAATAAAAAGGTGTAATATGTTCTAATAGAATAAATTACAACAAACAGTAGGTTGTAAAGTGACAGACATAGCACATTCACATTCAAATGAAATACTTTCCTAAACTTAGTGATACCAAGACGTCCATGTGTTGGTCTTTGAAAGCAAGCGCTTGTTTCTGACACTGGATTCTCACACACAAACACTTCAGAGTGAAGAAAGTTGAGCCTGCAGAGTGGAGAGGAATACTATTTGCCTGGCTGTCTACCAGAGCCACAGTGTTGTGTGTGTGTGTGTGTGTGTGTGTGTGTTTGCTCTTATTCTCCTTCGCAGCTCCACTTTTTCTAAATTTCTCCAGTTCCTCTCCCTCCTTCCCTCTTTCTCTTCCCACCAACCGACCAGCAGAGTCTTCCACTGAAAAAGATAAAACTGTTGATCTGGCAGCTTTTTCCCTCCAGCATCCCTTCAGAAACTGCTGTGACTGCACGACTGTGGTCAGAATGATGATTAGGATTAATTCTCACCACATTACATCTTCACTATTTATAACGGCACTTCTTCCTTCATTTGTTGAGGAACTGAATAGTTTTTTTTCTGGAGCTTTTGAGTCTGACGTCAACAGTTTTACATTTTAGAGGCTGGTGGAGTAATAATGAAATACTCTGATTATAATATTCTCCATTTCTGAAAATGAATGCCAGACGGAAATTGCAAGGATGTCTGACTGAGCAAAAAAGAGCATTTACAAAAGTTAATAACTAGAGTAACAAATATTATCAGTCTTATTCTGAAGGTCTTGATTTGGTAAAATAGGCCAGTAATGCTTTATTTTACATCCATAATATGTTTCTAATAATTGCATATTCCAAATTAGTTATAAGGAAATATAAATGTAACTCAAGGTTCACCTACTAACTTTTTCTGAGGCTTTCAACCACATCTCACACTTCCTCTCTGTGGTTCAAATTTGCTCAGTTTTCATGGAAATGGCATATATATGTATAAGGGTCAATTGAACACAGTGTCCATTTACCCTGTAACCATTACTAAATTACATGCCTTCAGGGAACCTCCCTAAAAACGAGTGTCAGTTCTTTTCAAGGAAAACAATAGCAGACTATGTGACCCATAAAATACCAACAGGCTTTCAATGCATCAGCATAAACATGAAGTCGATTTAAAAGAAGAAAGGAACACTGGTGAATGTTACTGTGATTTAGTACAATTTTATGTGATTTTTAATGTGTAAATTATGTACTGACAGCTTTAACTTACAGCACCAGTGTGTAGGATTTAGTGGCTTCTAGCAGTGAAATTGCAGATCACAACCATTTAATCCGTCAGGTGGGGCTGATTTTGAGTTTTTGACTTCAACATGTAGAAGGTTCTCTGAATGAAAGTTTTGCTGTTAAAGAGACACATTTGGATTTTTCTTTTATGTTTCGATTTGTGGCTCTGTGCTCCTGTGAGGAGACGGTTTCCTGCAGCGATCATATCACCCACGGAGAGTGCAACATTCTGCAGCACATACACGCGTTGTGATTTAAGGCTTTAGATTAGACATTCAGGTTTTTGGGTAAACATTTTGTCCAGTGAGGCTTTAAAGGAAGTATGAGAAGAAAAAAAACGAGTTCCAGGAAAGATATGTTATATTTATGGGATAAAATAAAAATGCAGATACACCCACTTCATTGCTTCCAGCTCTCTTTAAATTAGAGAATTTAGTATTGCTGAAGTTTGGTATGAACCGTTGAGCAGTAATAATGAATAAACCCATTCTTTCTGTCTCTCTTTCAGGAGCCTGTTTTCTAGGAAATCCAAAGAGCCCAAGGCGCTGTCCCATAATGCAACGGGGTGGCGACTGTTTGGCAAGACAGCAGCCAGAGAGGGCGATCCAACTAAAGACCCTGCCTCCACATTGTCCCCACAACAGGTTGGCTCTTTAAACACACACACTGACATGATAACCATCATCCTGGGAACGTTTTCAGGGTGTTAGTTGGTGAAAGTCTGAATGGAGAAGTGAAGTTGGAGGAGTCATTTCTGATGTTGGTTGGAGTCTTGGATGGACTTCAAACTCTCCTGGTTGAATCATGGCGGACTTTAATAGCACTTTATTCCTGTTCTGATGCAGTTTACTATACCTCCAAAGGTCCACTTGAATCCAAGCACACCAGCTGTATTTTCCCTCACACTGGCGCTTTTGAAGCGGCCGTACGGTCGCTTGATTTCTCTTGTGTGCATGTAAATCTTTTTACTAGTTTTATGACTGAATGTCTTTGTGTTTTGGGGTTCGAAGACATCAACTTTTAGAACTTGGATCTTTAATTTTTAAGAAATAATGAAGAGGTCAGCCAATAAATCCAAAGATCGTCTATTGCAGCCCAAGAGTAAATCATATCAAAGAACATACCGAACATACGGAGCATTTGCGTTTGAGTCAATCTTTTTATATACAGTTGAATATGAAGTCCAGATGCTTCATCATGTTCCAGTGTGAAGTCCTCGCTGTCCATTCGACTAAAGAAGTAGAAACCTACGAACACAGTGAAGTGCAGCGTTTCACCAACCCTGTGAGATGTTGGATTGGTCGGCCTGATGACGTGTTTGCTAGCCCGATGCTCCAGAGGCTAATACTGTTAGCCTGCATCTGTTTACAACATGGTGGCTGAAATTAGACTGTAAAATGGATTTACTGTGTGTGCATGTGTATGTGGTCGCTAGGCAACTTCCACACACTGCCTGCAGCTGAGATGCAGATTATTACCCCCTCGCCCTCCCATCCCACCCCTACACACACACACAGATGCAATCCTCCCCTCTATCCCCCACTTGCTGCGTTGTAGAGGGCCCTGCCAGCAATGACACACACACACACACACAGCTGTTTCTCTCCTGTCCTTTAGAGCAGGTGGTATCCTGGACAAACACACACACACATACGCAGCAGCAGCAGCTTCCTCCTCTCTGGGTGAATTTAATTAGATGAGGTCTGGTTTTCACATGAGACAAACGCTGAAAAGCAGCTGTCTCACACACCGAACAATCGTCAGTTTAATCATCCATCAGCTGGAGGACACAATCCCATCTGCTGAAGTACCCTTGAGCAAGAACCCAAATCCAGACTCTCCTTATTCCAGCTCCAGGGTGGACCTCTGACCTTGCTGTGTACTGTGAAGGCCATCAGACAGCCATCGGCCTTTGGGCCCGCCCTGCTCACATGACGGCAGCCAGACTCAGATGACTCATCAGGAAAGGAGCCGGCCAGATGTGGTTTGGCTTCAGTTGGTTGACACGTCAGACATAAAATTGAGGAGGAGGAGGAGGAGGAGGAGGAGGAGGAGGACTTCGTTCAAAATGTTTCCTTTGAATTCAGGTTGTGCAGCAACGCAAGAGTTAGCTCAGAGGGACAACCAGGGATTAACTGCCAAAATGATAACCCTGCTGTTCATGTGTAGTAATTCTCATCAGCCTCCATCATTTGAGGAGTATCATTTCTGCGGTGTGCACACATTTTTCATCTTTTGTCCACTCCAGATCCTGTCCTAGATGGAATCCACTCTATAGCCAAAAGTCAGTGGACGCCCCTGTGGACATACTTTTGTTTTTGTCTATATTTGGCCTGAGGTAGGGGTTGTAACATCCGTGGAAAACCTATCCAAACCCAATGTGCATAAATTAGTTAAAAAAAGAAAAGATGATAAGTTACATTCTAAACTCGCCGTCGACCCAAACTGAAAAAAACAAAAATAGAGAGAACACACTCACTGGCCGCAGCGTGATGCTCGGCAATTAATGGACAGATTTTTCTCTCATGGTGACAAATATGTACCACACGATCAGAGCTGATAAAGATCCTGCTTGATCCACTCAGGTACTAACATTCATAGTTTGGTCTCTGCCCCATAGTTCCTATAAAGGGAAAAATGAACGCAACAGCATGCAATGATATTTTAAACAACTGTGTTTCCTGTTTCAACAAGTCGATACCCCCGTGCACTAAGCCAGCTCCATAGAGAAATGGTTTTCCTAGTTTGGTGTGGAAGAACCTGACTGGCCTAAAAAGAGCCTGACCTCAACTCCATCCAACACACCTTTGGGATGAACTGGAACACTGACTGTCAGCCAGGCCTCATCAGCCAGCATCAGACAGACCTCACTAATAGGTTTGGAATAACATGTTAAACTACCACACATGACTGTAATGCTCAGGTGTCCATATACTTTTGGCTATGTAATGGATC